ATGCAATTTGATTTCAATTTAACTGTCATGACTCAGGACTATGGAACCTTGGAAGTTGTAGTTTTATGAGGTCTTTAGCCTTCTCACCAGAGTGCTGTGCCTCACTAAACTACAACTCCTATCATTCCATAGCATTGATGCATAGGTAGATGCAACAAGGGGAAATGGCTTGAATACCCAATCAGGTATGAAAACCCACTGGTGACCTTGGTGTAATAAAAACACTCTCAATCACACTACAGAAAAAATCCACTTAAAATCCAGTTTCTGCCTCCTGCAGAATTCTGAGGTTTGTAGTTTAGGGAGGAACCTTTAACAGCCTCAGTAAACTACAAACCCCAGAATTCTGCAGGAGGCAGAACCCAGATTTTAAATGGATTTTTTTCTCTAGTGTGATGAAGATATCATCAGGGGAAATGAAATCCGTCTGATGGCTAGAAGTCCACGAGGGGAAATTAAAAGGAACATTAGAGGCCCCATCTACTATCTATAATGCAGTTCAATTGTTTTGGAATGTGGAAGGATGAGTGCTCCTAGCTGTCATCCGAACATCCTGAAAAACAGCAAAGGCAGCTGGGATGAGATTTTAACATGATTTACTCCTGAATATCTTCTATTGCAGTTTCTGACTTGTCATCCTAGCCCACTGCAGTTTCCAGAGGCTTTTTTTATTAGATCGAAATAATATCGTGCAAAGCCTGGGTAACACCACTTCATGATCGGTACAGTCAATCCTCCATATCTACAATTTTTGTATCTATGGATTAAAACATCTACAGCTTGATTTTAAAAAAATATCCAAAGGGCAAGCTTTGATTTTGTCACTTTATATTAGGGATACTATCATTCTTTGGTATTATATATATTGGAACGTGAGCAGCTATAGATTTTAGGATCTTGGAACCAAACCCCAGCAGGTACCAAAGGTCCACTGTACATTTATTGTACTTTCTGTAAAGCATGGATGTTCCACTCTGTAACTGTACAGGCAGTCCTCGAGTTACAAATGACTCATAGTTAAGAATGGGGGTGAGGCAACAGGAAGCAAGACAAATCTACCCCTCTGAAGGGAAATTCACTACTGAAAGAGATACCATGAGGAAAGGGTGTCTCCACTGAAGCTTTCTCATCAATCCTTCTTTCCACAACAAGCCAAAGTTTTTAAAATCCAATTATCACAGGGACAGAAAGTGAAGTGAAATTTTCTGAACAAGGGCACAGATCACCAAACAAACACCACAGGGGTATTAACCCTGCCCTATAATATCCAAAGCTTATCTATCTATCGATTGGGGGGGGGGGGTACACTTAAAACATGTACCTGTTCCAAATAACATGCAAATTCAGCTTAAGAACAAACCTACAAAACCTATGTTGTTAGAAACTTGGGGACTGCCTGTATTCCTGTAACTGGTTCCCATTAAAATGCTGTTTGACACTTTAGCAATTATGGGGCAATGCTATGGAGCCATGGGAGTTACTGCTCTGCAAGGCTTTTAGCCTTCTCTACCGGTCCTGGTGCCTCACCAAACTATAATTCCCATTATTCCATAGGTTTGAGCCATGCCTGTTAAAATGGTGGCAAAGTGCATTAATTCTACAGTGTAGATGCAGCCATAGTTTCATGTTTAGATTTGGGCCTCCAATATACTGTAGGCTCTCAGTTAACCGAAATCTCAAACAACTGGCAAAAAAAATGATACTGCATTTACAAAGCTGTCAATTGTATTATAAATACAGTTGACTGTGTCACATTACATTAAATTTGTATTAGTCTTAATTTGCTTTTAATTACTGTATTTCAACACTGATATCAAGTCAATACAGACTTTATGGAATGGTATAATGTGAATCATAGTATTTTATAGGAACCAGACAAGCAACCAGAAACATTCATCCAGCACCTACCAATTCCCATGGGTGCCGGTTAACTGAGGGCCCTTCCACACAGCCATATCAAGGCAGAAAATCCCACAATATCTGCTTTGAACTGGGTTATCTGAGTCCATACTGCCATATATCCTGGTTCAAAACAGAAATTGTGGGATTTTATTCAGCTGTGTGGAAGGGGCCTGAGAGTCTACTGTTATTTCTTTATGTACATATATGCAAATGTACCCAGTCTGTTGAAAGCATGAATTTTAAACTCATGTAATGTGTTTTGCTCTCAGCCCTGTGTAATTAACATGCATCTTACAGAAATGTTTTGATCATTAACCGTGCTCCATGCAGTCATGCCGCCATATTATCTTGGAGGTGTCTATGGGGCTGCCCTTGAAGACAGCCCGGAAGCTCCAACCGGTACAATGGGCGGCAGTCAGGCTCCTTACTGGAGCAAACTATAGGGAGCATAAAACACCCCTTTTAAAACAGCTTCACTGGCTACCGATAAGTCGCCGAGCCAAATTCAAGGTGCAGGTTATGACCTATAAAGCCCTAAACGGTTCGGGCCCCACCTATCTTTGCGATCACATCTCCCTCTATGAACCGGCGCGAAGTTTAAGATCTTCCGGGGAGGCCCTCCTTTCGCTCCCACCACTGTCACAAGCATGGTTGGTGGGGACGAGAGAGCCTTCTCGGTGGTGGCCCCTCGCCTCTGGAATGTCCTTCCTAGAGAAATAAGACAGGCCCCATCCCTGCCCTCCTTTCGTAAGAACCTGAAGACCTGGTGGTTTAAACAAACCTTTGAGAACGACTGGTTTTAGCTCTACCCCAGATACTGTTGAAATTGGCCATATCTTCTTCTATCAATTACCAAGGTCACTCTCTTCTGTTAGCCCCTGGAAATGTACAGCCATAGACTCTACCTAATTTCCCGGGCCCTCGCAGTAGCCCAACCCGGCCTTTTAAACAGCCTTGATCAAACATGATTATTTTAAATATATGTGCTATTGTGGTTTTAATGCTTATATTGTCTTGTAAATTTTATGTTTATGCCATTTTTTCCCTTGTATGTACTTTTTATGTTTACTTGGAAATCACTCTGAGTCCCCGGTATATAAATAAAGTTTTGTTGTTTGTTTTATGGACAATGTCGGCTCTTAGAAATGGAGATGAGCACAAACCCCCAGAGTCAGACACGACAGGACTTAATGTCAGCAGAAAACTTTTACCTTTAACTTTGATCATTATCTTTTATGAACTGAACTTTAATGAGTGCTTGTAGAATTTTTATATAGTACTAGCTTGGGTACCCGATGTTATTTGAAAAAGTCAGTTTTTTAATTGTACAAAATGTGTAAGGTTGTGGGTGAACTATAACTCACATCATGCCAGGTTAACCCCAAAAAACTCCATCAGTACTTCAGGTTTGTTATGCTGAGCAAGTTTGCTCTAGATGCAAACTCTAGATTATTAAGTAGATATTCCATTTTTTGGAATAGTAGCAGCTCAAATAGTATATGCTAGAGATACCTCTTTTAGAAGAATGGGAAAAATAGGTTACAGATTTTCAGATAATGGATAAAATAACTGTACTATTAAGAGGAGAACCATTAGAGAACTTTGTTAATGAATGGCAACCAATGATTCAACATATCAATGTAAAATTAAACTAAAAAAATGTATATGGAAGATCCTATAAGACTGTAGACAAGGAGCAAGATAAAGATTTCTCCTGACATTAAGCCCAGTCGTGTCCGACTCTGAAGGTTGGTACTCATCTCCATTTCGAAGCTGAAGAGCCGGCGTTGTCTATAGTCACCTCCATGGTTATGTGGCCGGCATGACTGCATGGAGCGCTGTTGCCTTCCTGCTGAAGCGGTACCTATCGATCTACTCATATTTGCATGTTTTCGAACTGCTAGGTTGGCAGAAGCTGGGGCTGACAGTGGGAGCTCACGCCACTCCCCAGATTCGAACCTGCGACCTTTTGGTCAACAAGCTCAGCAGCTCAGCGTTTTAACCCACTGCGCCACCAGGAGACAAGGAGGAAACTGATATTAAGTTAGAGCCTATGATTCCTTTATATGTACTGGGTTGTTGTAGGTTTTTTCGGGCTGTATGGCCATGGTCTACATCAGGGGTCCTCAAACTAAGGCCCAGGGGCCGGATACGGCCCTCGAAGGTCATTTACCCGGCCCTCGCTCAGGGTCAACCTAAGTCTGAAACGACTTGAAAGTACACAACAACAACAACAACAATCTTATCAGCCAAAAGCAGGCCCACACTTCTCATTGAAATGCTAATAAGTTTATATTTGTTAAAATTGTTTTTCATTTTAATTATTGTATTGCATTTAAGTGTTTTTTGCACTACAAATAAGATATGTGCAGTGTGCATAAGAATTCATTCATGTTATGTTTCTGTTTTTTTCAAATTATAATTCGGCCCTCCAACAGTTTGAGGGACTATGACCTGGCCCTCTGTTTAAAAAGTTTGTGGACCCATGGTCTAGAGGCATTCTCTCCTGACGTTTCACCTGCATCTATGGCAAGCATCCTCAGAGGTAGTGTTTATATGTACTGTTTAAATAGAAGACTGTGACCACTTAAAGAAAATATATTATGGAACACTAATGGCTGGAAAGTATTACACGGTACACAACAAACACTTACAAATGTATGTATATTGGAATAAATAAATCTTTTTTAAAAACTGGAATCCCAAACACTTTTTGTCCCTTTAAGGACAAGAGAAGGGATACTTCGGCCTGTATTTATCCCACCTGCTTGGCGGATTCGTAGTCTATTACAATGAATGAGATCCATCCAATTCGGATTTGTCTCCAGCGTCTATTGTGGCAATGAGGCGCCGCCTTCAGTCCTCCCAACGCCAGGGGTCGCTCTACCTTTCCGCTCCTTTCCCGCCACGGTCGCTTTATAGGCGTCTAACAAAATGCCCGATTGAAGTAATTTAGTCTTTCCCAACTTTCTCCCTTCCTATTTATACCTGCCTCGACCTTTCAAGGTCCAGAGGAGCCGCAAGCGATTGCGCATTTGCTACAGCGAGTTGAAAGAAGTCGGTAGGAACAGGCGGAGCAAGGGCAGCCCCAACGGCCAAAGGACCCCGGAGGTCCTCGCTGTCGCCACCGAGGCCCATCCGTCGCCGCCGGAGGGACGCGTCCGGGCCGTTTCTCGGCTGCCAGAATGTCGACAAAGAATTTCCGCGTCAGCGACGGAGACTGGATCTGCCCGGACAAAAAGTGAGCGGCGGGAGGAGGCGGGGAGGCCAGGCCCAGTCGGGAGAGAGAGAGAGAGACAGAGAGAGAGAAAGGCTCTGGGAAGCGGGCCGGGCCTTGCTTCGTCCCCTCTCCCTTGGGTTGCCTGAGAGAGTGAGAAGCCTTCTCTGGTTTGTCCTATTTATTTTTCCCCAGGGAAAGGAGTTCTTCAAGCGGCCTTTTCGGGCGGGGAGAACGAGCCCCTCATCACTGTATTTCACCTGGGCCTTTTCCCCCGCACGGCCTTTTATATTAATATCCCACGGGATTGGCCTCCGCTTTACCTAGCCGTGATCCAATGCTGTGGAATCCTGGGAGTTGTAGTTTGGTAGGGTACCAGCACTTTTCGGCGGAGAAGGCAAAAGAAAGGCCGGGTTTATTTATTTATTTATTTTGGTCGTGTCAGGAGCGACTTGGGAAACTGCAAGTCGTTTCTGGTGTGAGAGAATTGGCCATCTGCAATTCTCGGATGTTTTGATGTTTTACCATCCTTGTGGGAGGCTTCTCTCACGTCCCTGCATAGGAGCTGGAGCTGACATAGGGAACTCATCCATACTCTCAGATTCGAACCTGCAACCTGTCGGTCTTCAGTCCTGCTGGCACAGGGGTTTAATCCACTGCACCACTGGTAATAGTATGATAGTGATATCGAGCCGCTATCAATAGCTGGGTATGGAAGCTCCAAGCGTTACGGAGATGCCGCATCGCTACTTTGGGAGCGCTGTTTGTGCAAGAGAGACTTAGCTAATGTAAACCAGGCAGGAGACAGATAATATAGAAGGAATGTAAGAGTTCTTTAATGGTGACACCCATACCCTGAACCGTACCATAAGCCTAAGCCTAACCCCTTTCCCATACCCTAAGCCAAACCCTAAATCTTTCCCTAACCCTTACCCTAAATGTCTCCTTTCTATCTCTCCTTCGCTCTCCCCGCTCTCACTCCACCCCCTCTCTTCCCTTATTCACAGGCACCTTTGCGGGGGCATCTCCGTAACACTCGGAGCTTACAGACCCAGCTATCATGCTATCACCGAAAGGCCTTGTCACACTACAACCCCCATAGCACTGAGCCCTGGCAATTGAGACGGTGCCAAACTGTGTTCATTCTATAGCAGGCATGGCCAAGCTTTGGCTCTCCATCCCAGAATATCAAGGCAGAAAACCCCACATTATCTGAGTATGGACTCAGATAACTCAGTTCAAAGCAGATATGGTGGGATTTTCTGCTTTGATATTCTGAGATATAGGGCTGTGTGGAAACATAGCCTAAAAGTAATCTTATGTATGGAATTTTAATAATTTTGCATTTGAAACAAAGTGTGTGCACAATGAAACATTGGAAACTAAAGCTATCGAACACTAATGTGGATGATTTTGGATAAGGGATGTTCAAGCTGTACACACACAGCCTGAAGGCAGTTTTATATAATATTTAAAAATAATTTTTTGCAGGAAAGTAAGTTTGTGTGTAATGACCCATCAGAAAGCAAAGGTTTCACTTACTTACAGGGTGTCCCAACATAGAAACTCGTATTATATTTTGTATTTTGAATATTTTAGTGTTTGTATGTTTGGGTGCGTGTGTGTATAGTTATACTTATTATATTTATATCTTATATACTTTTATTATATTATATTTTTAATTTAAGTATCTATGTATATATTTTAAAAAGTTTTGTAATGAAATTTTTGTTTAAAAAAGGTACCTCTATCTCTAATTTCCCATTTTCCCTCTATAGTGAGTGACTTTTGGGTATTTCAGACCCACATATTTGAAGAACTTTGGGTTTTGGAGAAGGTGAACCATTTATATATACCAGGCATCCTTAAATGGTAGCGCTCCAGCTCCCAGAATTCTTGACCATTGAACAAGCTGGCAAGGGCTTCTGAGAGTCGGAGGCTCAAACAATTGGAGGGCTGCAGTTTAAGGATGCCTGATCTAGGTTATCCGGGGGTCCTTCCACACATCCATATATCCCAGAATATCAAGGCAGAAAATCTCACAATATCTGCTTTGAACTTGGTTATCTGAGTCCACACTCAGATAATGTGGGATTTCTTGCCTTGATATTCTGGGATAAAGGGCTGTGTGGAAGGGCCCCAGGTTAACTTCCACCTGAAGTTGATTGCAGAATCTGAATGGAGGACTGGAGGTCCTTCCACACAGCTGTTGCGTGATAACCCACAAAGGGCTATGTTTCAGGATAATATGAAATATAAAGGAACATTTACTTAGACTTGGATCCCATCTTCAGATGTTGCTTTATCGAAATACAGCTATTTCAAAATACAAAATATGGAATTCTTTATCCAAAATACTTGGAACCAGACATGTTTGGGACTTTTTTGGATTTTGGAAGTTTTCTATTTGCATATACATACTTAAGAAGATATATTAGAAGTGGGGCCCAAGTCTAAACACAAAATTCATTTACATTTCATATATATATTATGCATATATATTGAAGGTACTTTAATCCATTATTTTAAAATAATTTTATGCATGAACCAAAGTCGAGGTATACTCAGCCATCAGAAAGCAAAGGTGATTATTATCTCAGCCTCCCTTGTGGACATTTGTGGATTTTGGAACTCTGGAAAAGGGATGCTAAACCTGAACACTTATAGCCTGAAGATAATTTTATATAATACTATCAGAAAACAAAGGTGTGACTATATCAGCTACATGTTTGGACAATTTTGGAGTATTTTGGGTTTCTTGTTAAAAGATGCTCCACCTGTACTAAAATGTTTTTTCACAGTTGTTTACCTTTTATTGTAGTAACTAGCTATACCTTCCACACGTTGCTGTGGCCAACCTTCCCTTCGTCTTTGTCTTCTCTTTTCTTTCTCTCCTTCCTTCCTTCCTTCTCTTCCTCTTCCCTTCCCCCCTTTTCTTTCCCTTCCTCTTTCTCCCAGTTCTTCCTTCTCTACCTATTATTGGACTGCAAATCCCAGCAATCCTCCTGATCAATCTACTTACCTATTTCTATCTAATTTATCTATCTTATCTATCTATAGGATTGTTGGGAGTTGCAGGCTAGGAATAGGAAATTGGAAATATGCAGGGATTGGGATGCTCTCAAAGAAATCCAAGGAGAAGAAGGTTTGCAGCTTGGAAGCAGTGCATTTGGATCATCCTCTTCTCCTAAAGGGCCTGGTTTAGGGGATGGTGGGAGAGTGTGGATATGCTATTGTGTGTTTTGTTTGCCAGGGGGAGTTCTTTTTGCACCTGCGCTGTAGCGTCTTTTTGTGTTTTAAGTCCCTTCCGCTATGTTTTTAGTGTTTTTAATGTATGAGTGATGGTCACCCATTGGCCTGATAGGTATATTCTGTCCAAATTTGGTGTCAATTCGTCCAGTGGTTTTTGAGTTATGTTAATCCCACAAACAAACATTACATTTTTATTTATATAGATGTTTTCTTTCCAAAGATTACAGGCATGTAGCTTTGCAGTTTTCAATGACTTGCAGTTTTCTTTCAGTGACTTGTAGAGGAAAGATAACAGCCTGAAAATGAATCTAGATTTCCATTGAGAAGCCTGTATTAAAATGCTTAGGACATAGTTGTTAACAGAAATATAATCAACTCATGTTTGCCTTGTAGGTGTGGAAACGTTAACTTTGCTAGAAGAACCAGCTGCAACAGGTGTGGACGGGGTAAGTATTCAAAATACATTCCTTTTGAAGGAAGGAGGGATTGGAAACACAAACCCTATAAGCAATTTGTTTTTGTTTGCAAATAAACATTTCCAAAGAAAAAGGAAATTCACACTTAAGGGAGTGAGGAGTGAGGGATATAAGCAAATTTTAAAAATGTTTAATTGCCTTCAGAAAAAACCACAGAGGCCAAGATGATGAAAGCCGGAGGGACTGAAATAGGGAAGACTCTTGCTGAAAAGAGCCGTGGTCTCTTCAGTGCCAATGACTGGCAGTGCAAAACGTAAGCTTTTTCAGCTGACACTTCATTTCTCTCTTATTCTTTAAATGTTTCTCTCCCATAGCTCATATAGTCCTATTCCTATGGGTGCTTACTCAGAACATGAGTAAAATCCAGTTGTTAGTCCCAAGTAGAGTACATTCCTTTAATCTGTGGAACTACCGTATTTACATGATGACTTACAAGCTAACATTGAGTTTGGATTAACAGTTGGCTCAGTGAGGTGGAAGGGACTTAGTTGAAAAGAAATGAACTTGACTTGGGTTTTGTTTGCTTTTTCTCCTTGTTTTTGCTGACATAACATCAAAGAAAATAAAAGAGAATGACCTTGTCAACCTCTTTGTACAAAACAAGTTTGTACCAACATATCTACTACAGCAGAGCTTTACAAATTTTTTTTGATGACCCGCTTTTTAGAAATGCATCATTTTGCAACAAGTTCTTCATTCAGTTTTACTAGCAAGTGGGGGAGTTAAATCAACCCCTTTTAAGAGTTTGATACAATGTATTTATTTAGAAATATATCCATTTCAGTGGTAATTACTGCAGCTCAATCAACAAATGTCACAAATTATAAAATGTATAATAGTACCTACACTTGATCAACAGCAGCATACCACTTTGGAAGTGATTAGACCTCTCTGGAGTTTTTAAGACAGTGGCTGGATGGCCATCCACAGGTGCTTTGACTATTTCTTCCTGCCTGGCTGAAGAAGGTTGGGCTGGATGCCCTTTGGGGGGTCTCTTCTTCCTCCTCCTGGCTCTCCTCTTCCTCTCTTCCCCTTTCCCCCAACCGAGACCACTGTTTGAGGCTAGGTGGAGAGCTGAGGATGACAAAGAGGAGGGGGATGACGGCCAATGTAGTGCCTCGTACTTGGTGCTGCTTGAGTAGCCGCCGCTGTTGCTTCTGCTAGCACTTTCAGGGGTGACCACTACATGCTTTAGCTTGTGAGGGCAGAGGGGAGTATTTTTCCTGCGACACAGTGATGGTCTCCAAACTGTGTGTCGTGACACACAGTTTGAAGAGTTCTGTACTACAGTATAATAAAATTCCACTTACATCAATTACATGTTTTTGAAGAAGCTTTTTGGAGGGAAAAATAGTACTCACTATTTTCTATGCATAATGCTGATTAATAGTTATTCTCACTGTTAAATATTGATTTGAAATATTGCTGTTTTTTACTTATCTAATATTTAGATTTTAAATTTCTGAACAAGTATTATTTTCTATATTTAATGACACCTTTTTCTTTCCTTCCTAAAGATGTGGTAATGTTAATTGGGCCAGGAGATCAGAATGCAATATGTGCAACACTCCAAAATATGCAAAACTGGAGGAAAGAACAGGTAATGTTTTTAAGTTTAGTAAAACCATCTTTCAAAAAATACAGTGCTCAAAATCTTGTTTCCTTTTTGTGTGAGCTATTCTTTTGATTTGTTTGAGGATTCTTTTGATTAGGAAGCTAAAAGTTCAACCAATTTCAAATTGTCTGGTTTTGCTGAAGATCTCTAGATTGTTGCAATAATGAGTCAGTTTTCTGAGGAACTCATATTCTGACAATACTGGGCTTTTAAAGAAGTTACATAGAATTGGAAAGAAAACTAAAAACTCTTGAAAAGACTCCTTTTTGCTGAAATTAAAAAGCGATGCCACTTCAAACAGGAGCCATCTGCTCTTAAGAGCTAAATAAAAAAAAGGTTGTAATGTATAAAAGATACAACTAATTTTGGGTGCATATTAGATCATGGAAGGCAAAGTAGTGCCCTCCTGTAATCACTGACCATATTAGCTAGGGAATGTTTAGAACCAACAAGGAAAAGGATAATGAGCTTCCATCCACTAATTTCTATAAGTAGATATTTGTTTGTAATATATTGTATGACTCTAAATTCTAATTTCATCTTAAAGGTGCACTGGTCTTATGTACACCATTAAACTAATCAATCAACAATTTCATTATCTATATTTCACTTCAGGTTTGACTAGAACCTTTAGAAAATTGTTGTTTTAAAAGTATTCTTTGTTTTAGTGATGAAGATTCAATCCATAGTACACTCACTGAGATAAATTGGATTTAAGTTAGTGACCTGAATGCCTAATGTGATTAATGCATTCTCTGGGCTTGCTCTACTGCATAAGTAGATTCAACTCAGTAGATTGTGAGTTTAGAATATATGGATTTACCTCCTAAAATTTTTGGAAACATCTCTTTTCAGGGTATGGTGGAGGCTTTAATGAAAGAGAGAATGTTGAGTATATAGAACGTGAAGAGTCAGATGGGGAATATGATGAGGTAGGTGGTGTGTACCTTATGAACAGGTGATTGTGAAGTCTGCTTTGATGGGAAAACTGAGTAAAACGGTTCTATATGTCTGCACTATATGTTATGTTTTGCAAGAAGTCAGTGTCTTCCTTAATAACAATGAAAACAAAATTGCAGGGAAGAAATGACTGGGATTCCAGGTTGCATACTTTCACCAAAAAACCTCAGATTTATCATTTCTACCAGTAGGTCATTTTGGTAGTTTAAACCCTTTCGGTTGTTACAACAAGAGTGGATGCGAGATTAATAACTTGATAAATCAACACATATGTAAGTTCTATTAATTCAGTTAGGCTAGCAGTTTTGTACATGATTTTACCAAAATCAGTTTCATTGGTAGAAAACCTGGCTTAAAGTACATTCAGAGAAGTTATAATACATCTATTGTTTGTGTTAATAATAGAATCACTGAAGAACAAATAAGTTTCCCCCCCTGCATTGACTTATACTTTTGATGTGGTTATATAACGGGCAAACTGTGTAAGTGTAAAAATTTTCAACAGCAGTAGTTTTCAAAGGGATTTTGGGCCACCTGTCCAAACTGAAATTCACAAATATTGCAATGTTAAATGTTCATTGTTCTGAAACTCCTTCTTTCACAATGCATGCTAAGATACAATATTTGTAATATATGCTGAACGTAATGTCTTGTTAGCTGATTTAGATTTTAACTCACATAAACTATATATCTGACAGTGTTTATCCTTCACGTACAGAAGTTTATATCAAAAAACTATACATCTTATGTATATCAAAACCAACCTTTTAGAACACAAGTGATTGCTTTCCAAATATATGTGATACTGCTTTGGATCCTGCATTAGATTGTTAAGTTTTCTAATTCCAGTCTCTTTTTCTGCAGAGGAATACAAAAGTAAATTCAATGTGAGAATATTCAGTTAAATAAATGTCTGTGATTATGTTTGCTCTGTTTTCATAACATGTTACCAAGAGTTTGACATTCCCCTGCCTCTTTATTTAGTTTGGTCGTAAAAAGAAAAAGTATAGAGGGAAGCCTGTTGGTCCAGCATCTATCCTAAAGGAAGTTGAAGATAAGGAATCTGAAGGGGAAGAAGAGGAGGATGAGGATGGAGATCTGTCTAAATATAAATTGGATGAGGTAAAGTAGTAATCTGTATCACAAACCCCACTTAATTGCTTTATTGAATAAGTTCATAATCTCTGATTTTTTTTTCTATTTAAACTGCTGGTAGGAATCCAGCTGAATCTTTGTCTTTCAGCGCAGGTTGGAAGCATCATGCAAAATGGCAGACAAAGCTTAGCTTCCCTTAAATAAATGTACAGAATTACCTTTGAAGAACCAAAATCAGCCTAGAACTATCCAAAAAGGTCATAATTCAGTCACATTTTTTGAATGTGGATAAAGCAGTGTCTAGCTCTTATGGTTCATTGCAAACTTCGTAAATGCATTTAATTAATAATGGTTAAATTAATGTTTGAATTCTTATGCAGCTTCCAGATTAAAGCACACACAGAGATATCAGTAGAATTCTGTCCAACATATTAGTTATATAAGTAAAATAAAAATGGTGTTGGTAAATTGAACAATTTTACAATGTTGTATCACAACAGATGCTTTAAAGAGAAGAAAGACACAGTTTTTAAAAATTCTATTTTTTCTAAGATGAGAGATGAGGCCACTGAAATTCTCTTTTAGAGGGAAATCTGTAATGTTGCTGCTCTTATTCCTACCAAATGCCATTACAAACGTCATGGAATTTGGAGCAGCAGCTTCTAATTTTTCATCTAATATACAGAAAAAACAAACTTAACAAAAGCCCATGACTGCAAAAAAACATAAGGAGTATAGTGTAATGCTGGGCTTCTTATACTTTTCAACTTGGGACCCATTTAACCAGAGAAATTTGTATGTGACCCTGGTTATATAGGTATAAAAAACAGGTATACAAATCAAACATTTACTGATAACAAATAAGCATTTGCAAGGCTTGCAAAACAGGCTGATTTTCCTTTTTTTGAAGTGCAGCTGAAACATCTTCTGCGGAGCCCACTGTAAACACTGCACTACAGATTCATTTAAATGCCTAAAACAGCCAGTAGGTGATCTTCAGAATTGTGCTGTGGAGAGCCCATTTGGGGTTGAGACTCACAGTTTAATAAGCTATGACATGGAAACACTATCCTCATGAGAATATAATCAGATCCCTAATTACTGATTGGTCCAAATAAAAAAATAAGAACATTCACTTTGAAAAAGAAGCAGAGCAATGCTAGAGCTAGATCTTGACATTGATATCCTGGGAATTATGTATGTGTTTCCTGCGTGTGTATGCACGTACATACAGAACCAGCTGAAACAGAAATCTTCAAATTTTGACTTTTATAACACTGATTTTGTTTCCATTTGAAACAAAATGGTACCTCAAGTTATGCCATGTTCAGTACATTTTTTGTTATTCATGTATCTTTAAGGAGAAACGGGGAGACCCTGAGGATCATATTTGTGACCATTATGTAAAGGTTAAATTATTCTGAAATATAGCACCACCTAGTCAGCTTCATGATTTAATAATATTTATTCCAATTCTCTCTAATCAGAGGTCAGCAGCTCCCACAATTATATCCAGTTTGGTATGTAGTAAGCTATTCATTTGAATTCACTGTGTTATACTATTGAAACAAAGCCATATATCTGTATATGAAATGTCTTCTTAGTCTGCTTAAATAATTGTTTGAGTCTTTTTTTTTTTCAGGATGAGGATGAAGAGGATGGTGATCTCTCAAAATATAATCTTGATGCTAGTGAGGAAGAAGATTCTTCCAAGAAGAAGAAAACTACAGCTAGGCGCAGTCGTTCCAAGTCTCGATCTTCTCACTCACGATCTTCATCTCGCTCATCCTCCCATTCAAGCTCAAGGTCTAGGTCCAGGTAAACGGGTACAGGTCAAGGGTAACGCCAGACAAAATGTCAGTATCTAACTTTCTTTATTTACATTTTTTTGTGATTGATTTTTTATTTTAGTTTTTTTGCAGTTTGAGTCAATCTAATAAACTTTACACACCAGATAGATCACATTTAAACAAATTGCAGGTGGTTGTGATCATGAAACATTTTGAGGTCTGTGGTAGTTAAGTGAAAGGCTTTGCTTTAGATTTTAATATTTTGATAGTGGCTTAATAAAATATAATTCTAGTTTCTCTGATATGTCACATATAGCTAACCACATATGGCTAATGTTTGTTAGATTATTGTTGAGAGTGAAATATTGAAATCAAGTATTTGAAAGCTTAAGCTCTATTGGAAGTCATTCCATAACTATTTTATAATGGTTGTTTTGGAGGTGGTTTTCCACTGAAAGTATGAAGGAAGGAAAGAACTTGTAGTTTATTTATATCCCTGAGAAAACTCAGTTATACAGACAATCCTTTTGCTAGTCAAATTTTTGGTTCGCCTAATATTTTACACTTTCTATTTTGTTTTGGCTTCATCTGAAGTTCTAGTATCTGCTTCATTTTGCACTGATTTTTTGATACTGTGTTTGTAACAAAACCGATGAATTGTTTCTCCTTCCTGGATTATTACCTACCTTTGAAGCAATACTGTATCAGAGAGCAGTTGATGCTTCAAGCAACAAAGGTTTTGCTTTCTAGGTTATGTGCGTATTCAATAATCAGGGTATATTATCTTATAATTCTGATGTCTAGTATGCAGAACAATGCTGTTGTAGCATAATGGAATTCTGTGTGATTGGATAGAGTTAACATAACTCCTGATGACAACAGCTGGGCTCTTCTCTCCTGTAGATATAGGAAAGGCTCCTGCTGGAGGATAGGGTTAAAGGCAGTTCTTGCTGGTTCAGCCACCACTTTTCATATTATTTCAGAGGATCCACAAAACTATACACAATTGAGAGGCTGCAGAGATTAAAAAAAAAAAAACCAACCTTGTCCTCTCTTAACTTGGCCAAAGTAAGCAAAACCTAGGGACAAACCATTAATGGACACGTTTCTTAATATAAATAATTCAGTTTTGCAGAAATACGGGACCTGTTTCCATACACCTGTCCTTTTAATATTAGGCTACAAATGCTCTCTTGGATAATACTGTTGTTATTTTTTGAATAAGCTCATAGCAGCAAGCAACAAATAATCCAATGCAAAATATATCAGTGAAATGAAATTAGTTGGGTTTTTATAAATGGGACAGGTTTAAAAGTAAGTATGAGTATCTAAAATCTAGGGGGCTCTGAATGTTGTTTCTACATACTTCCTGAAATTCTTGGTTCACCTATTCTGCATACTTTTACCAGAGCCACTTCTGTCTGCCTAAAATCAGATGTTAAATTGCTTCTGTAAGCACTTTCTGCCTTTGAATGCAAAAGAAACAAAAATAATAGGAATAACAGGAATAATAAATACTGGTTTGAACTTGAAAACATTAAGCTCATATTATATTGACGGCAGCAATAAAAAATTCTTATTACCTCTTCAAAAACAAGACTACGTTGTTCCTGACTATATAGTGAAACAGATTATATCTTTATGTATAATGTTATAAGTCATAAAATTGAAAATGAATCTAGGAATTCTGAATGCCAACAGGAAATACTTAAATGTTTATCCTGAACTGGAATTCTGAAAAAATATTTCTGTTGAAGTCCTGTACACAAATCTGAAAATAAATTCTACTGAACTTTTACATCAAAGTAGATCTTTTTTGGACTGGCTAATTTTTACCAAGGAACTAAAACAACTTTATTCTTTTTGGACAAGCAAGTTATAAAGATACTCATTAAGCTATATCTCTTTACAGCTTTCTGTAAAGAGGTATAGCTTTACCTTTGTACATATTCTGTTAACAGTAAATAGCATCAGAAGTTGGCTTGAATATGCTTAAAGTTACATGCTTCCTACTTCTGAATGAATAGACCTTACCAAATTCAGGTTCAGAGTAAAGTATTTTCTGTGTATATTATTATTTTAAAGTAAATAATATACAGAAGAAGATTATTAGAAATCGATAACATTTAGCAAAAAATTTTTGGTGAGAATCCAAAGAATGCTGAGAGCCAAAGGGGCTTAGATTTCTGTTGTGCTACCTTTGAAATTGAAATATCTTTAAGTATCTGCTTGTGGCATAATAGGAGTAGTTATGTAAAGAACCAGAAAATCAAATTTCTTTCATGTATTTTAAACTATTCTTTTAATATCACCAAGAAGCTCTTTGGATCCTGACCATTCACTGTTTGAAATGCAAGATCCAAGTTGTCATGATGTAGAGAAGATACCATTATTTCTGTTCTGAACTATGAATGAAACTAAAAATTAAATTTCCACTGATTTGTCTTTTTCCTGGAAAAAAAAATATCCCATGTTGTTTCAGGTCAAGAAGCTCCTCCAGTTCAAGGTCAAGATCTCATTCCAGTTCCAGAGAACGTTCTAGATCCCGTGGGTCGAAATCAAGGTGAATGAGGTAGCAGTCTCTCTGCTTTCAGAGAGAGACAGAAAGACCACCAGAACTTACTCTCTTTTATTCTATATATTTCATTTAATGTTCACAGATAATGTGTTATCATGCAGTAACAGCGGTAAAGGAAATATTATATGAAATGTTTGTTAAAATATTATAGAAAAAAACACTACTGTAGAAATATTTAAAAGTAGTCCTTGTCTCAGAGTAAGATTGGACAGTTCAATAGAATGCAAACTGGAATTTCGGTGCGTTGAGACCCTTCGGGGCTTGTTTTTGTGCAATTGGTCTCTGCAAAGGAAACAAAAGTGGAAGTAGCTAGAATTTGATGTCTGATTTTGGAAAACATTTAAAAGTGTGAAATGAAGCCAGGGGCCCTGATCTTGGAAGCTAAACATCGACAATTGTGGTAGTAGTTAAACGAGAAACCATAAGGAAATACCAGGTGCTGAGGGCTATATTTCAGACGAAGGAACTGGCAAACCATCGCTTAAGTATTTCTTGAGTAAGATGTGACATCAGTGTGGCATTCCAGTGGTCTCTACCTAGAGGAAATTTGCTGAAATACTCATACATCTCAAGTATTTTGTCTGTATGAAAATTATTGTTACCATCAGATTTTCCTAATAGCTTTAGTTAATAATTTTGTTCAACAAACTCATCAAATGCAGCACTTTGCAACTTTATCCTAGTTCACCCAGGTTTTTTAAAAAATGTAAAAAGTAAAAAATGCGCATCTGCCACTTGCTGTGGATAAGCATAAAATCAATGTAGCCACTATAAAGGTTTCTGAATTATGTGTTCCTGTCCTAGTTTTCTTTATTTTTAAATATTTTTATTAGCACACATTAACAGATTACAGTGTAAACCGAAGACAAAACAATGAACACTTTACAAACACATAACTCCTCCACCCAGGCCAGAACAAGTATCATTTTCTTTGTCATTAATTTATGAGTCAACCAGTAAACAAATGCCATATCCAAAATTCCTGACCAATAACGTTTTATTGTTTTCCTTTATCACTCTCTAAAATATATTTGATGAAATCCAACCAGTATGAATCAAACTCTGATCTTTTCATTTCCCCCTGAACACCCTCATTTCTATTGATAGTTTATAATTTAAGGCAATGTTCCATACCTATACCGTGCTTCTGCATGGTTTGTTACTATTTGTTACTCTCTTCCAATTCCTTGCAATTATAAGTCTCGCCACTGTGAGTAAAATAATAACCAGTTCTTTTTTTTTCATGCCTAAGTTCAGCTTTGTGGCATCCATCAGTAATGCTAACTAGTATTCAATGCAATGTTTAATCCTATAATATCACCTATTTCCATAAATATATTTCCATAAATATATTGTTCCAAAAACTCTTCAGCTGGTGGCATTCCCAACATACATGAAAATATGCCCTTTTGTCTATACCACGTCTTCAGCAGGGGTTACTTTGCTTCCTATCCATCTGGTGTAATTTAACTGGTGTGGTATACCATCTCCATATGACTTTATACACATTTTCTTTTAATCATATTGACATATTCTTAACCACTCTCTACTTTAGAACCGTTTTCCATTCCAGATCCGTCAGAGGCCCTGGGTCTCTTTTCCATACCTTTTCTAACAACTTCAACTCTATTTTATCGCCTATTAATCCATTATATATTTTCCCAATTAATCCTTTCCCAGATATTTGTTGCTTTTTAAGTTTACTTAGCTATTCTTCATATTTATTTAACTCTATGTATGGGCTTTTTACGTAACCAGTCCTTTTTCCATGTATATAGCTGCTGCCTCTCAAACCAACTGAAGACACCTTGTTGCTCTAACTTATTAAATTTGCCCATTGAATTTTGTATCCAGTTTCCACCTCCACTAATTTTTTATTCTTAAATTTAACTCTCAAGACTTTTGGAAATTTTCCAGTAAAACTATTGGGGTTAGGGGAGAAACTCCTGGAAATATTTTGTTTTTTAACTTAACTCAAGTCTCCATAACATCTTTAGCCAGGTTATTTTCACGCTCCTTAATTACTTTGCCTGTGATTAACATGAAAAACACATCCCCATAATCTTTTTGCCAGCTTTTGCCTTCAAGTTCCTGCCAGATTAATTTAAGTTCCAACAACAGCCTAAATATGCCTTTTATTATATATCTGATAGTAGGTTTTTAGTTCTGGTATTCCTAATCCTCCTAATTACTGGTCCATTGCCTGGTAAAAATGTGATTTGAATTGGCCTCTGTCCATGTTGTGAAACTCCTCTGAAAGATGTTAAATTCTAAGTCCTTGTTAGCACAGCAGTAAGTACTTATGAACTGATCTGTTCTCACTTATTTGAGTTTGATATCTATTTTAAATCGTTATGCTGCAGTTTCTAGTGCGCAGAATTGAGTGTGATTTATTTCTTAATAAAGATCCAGCTCCAGGTCCGTCAGGGGTTCTTCCACCCCAAGAAAGAGATCTTACTCGAGCTCTCATTCGTCATCCTCCCCTGAGAGAAGCAGAAAAAGAAGCCGATCCAGATCGTCTTCTGGTGATTGCAAAAAAAGGCGAATGAGATCACGGTCACCTGAAAGGTTTGGGTTTTGTAGAATAACAATGGTTGTTCTTTCAATGTTGACTGTGAGAGGACTAGACAAAGAGCTGAATGTTTTTTAGTATTGTGTGTTTGGACATAGCAGGTTTTTTTTTAATTTTTGTAGATTTTATTCTGCCAATCTCTTAAAACGCTCATATGCTTTCAGTTAACATTTTAATATTGTTTATGTTACAGATATAGCCACTTTTTTCCTTTTTCTAGAACTCACTTTAACTAAGAGTTCTATATCTTTTGTGTACTGTTTTGTGCAGCCACACAGATATTAAATCCAGGAAGTTCTATTTAGTTCACACCCTGCCCCATTTATTTTAATTCTATATCTATTTTTCCCCTGTCACAGTCCTAACAATTCAAACTTAATTCATTTGCATGCTTTTCTCCCATTTTATCTTCCAGAAATCGCAGGTCATCATCTGGATCTTCTCATTCTGGATCCCGCACAAGTTCTAAAAAGAAATAATATATTAAAAAACGGAAAACTTAAAAAATATAGCCCAGTGCATGAGACATAAAGAAGTTGGTGTCTTACTTGGTCAGAAGTGCTAAATACTGCTAGTAGGGAGTGCATGTTTTATGGAAAACTGCAGCTTATTTTAATTAATGAACCAAAATAGTGAAATATTTTAAGCCATAAATTGACCCCTGAAAGGTGAGTAGTGTGACGTTTGCTTTGTTTTTCTTTTCAAAAATTTGTGCCTCCTCCTTTTTCTTAGCTTGACCGGCTTCAAAATGTGAAAGCTAAGTGAAGTCCTGTCCCAATGCTTCCCTTATTTGCCATTTAGACAACATGCAAAACTAAAGAGGGTGGTACAATTGGCATTAATACGTGCTGGTGTATTTCATTTTCCCTTGCCCTCTGTGCACACAGTAGGAAATTACTCATTGTTACAATGAGTTTTAAAATAGAAAATATTTCAGTGTGAAAGCGACCTTCTATTATGGTTTTTACTTGAGAAGAAATGCATTTTTAGACAAATGGGAAAATAATTTTCTGTAAGTCACATACTATGTTTTTTGATACTAGGCAAAGGAAGAAAAGCTTACTTGTTATGCTGAATGTATACTTTCCTGACAACATAACTTTCTAGTTGGTGCTTCCTACATTTTTGGTTTTTGATAGTCATATCCTAAGCTAAAAAGTTAGCAGATGAAGTATAGTGACAAAGTACAATAAAGCACTGAGAACCAGGGCATTCAGGATTTTTGAAACCTTTTACAGAGGAGTGGGACTGTAGCATTCAAATCTGTTTGCACAAGGCCAAAAAAACAAACAAACCCTGAAATCAAACTGGCAAACCTTTTGTTTCATGTTTGTAACTCTTACAGAAACTGTCACAACTCTTCTAAAATATAATACTTCACCCATGAATCATTGCAAGTAATTTTCCTTGTTGACCAATGTAAATTTATGGCTTAAAATGTTTCATAAAATTTGTGTTACTAGCAAATATTTGTTAAATACTGACCAATTTTAAGTTCCTTTTGCTTGGGAGAAATATGTGTTATCTTCAGTGACATCCCAAGGTAAGTATGTTAAGGGAGATTAATTGTTCAAGGAAACAAACAGTGTGTCATCACTTGTATGTAACATCTTATTTGTAAAGTGAACTGCATAGAGTGACAAATGCAGTAGAAACTATTTTATTTTACATTTTTCTTTTATGAACATCTTAAATTTCTTTTGGACTGATCAAAGAGAAAACAGACTGCTTTTTGCTGTAGAACTGTTTTGGATAAACTCGGCATTAAAAAGGCCCTACAATCCTGTATTGCTTTCCTCTTAGGTATACTTCTCTTTTGCTAAATGTAGCCTAGATTGCACAAGAACAGTTAGTCTCTTGTAACTGCCTCTGACTTCTTGAAAGTCTGTCTAAAATTGTGAAAAATCAGATTTGCTAGATGCTACATGTTAAAGTTAGTTATCCTTGTGGTTTATATTCCTAAGTATTGTACCTAACCAGTTTTTTAAACTTGGCAAAATGATAAGCTAGAATGACTAAGGGACAATTATGGGTGTCATTTGGCTTGGATTAAAATGTACTGGTGTGTTCTATGAAAATACAATTCTGTAGACATATGTAAATAAAGCATGCTGATCAAAGAAAATGACATTCTTATTTTGTTTTGAGCATCTCACCTGTATAATTTCAAAAGATGAATCCATTCATTGAGTTATTTTATAAAAGTGGCTTGAAATAATCTGAAGTGTATGTCCAAAGTATATTCAGTCATACATAATATTGTATGCTCATTGTTGTTCAGAGTCATATGTTATATTCAGTTTACCTTCGGAACATTTGTAATAAATGTGTGTAGACTTGATGTAGACTTTCCCATCCATAAACATTATGAGTCTTGTTTCCAGAAAGACAGAGACCTTGGAAAGGCCCATGCCAAAGGCAAGGTGATTTCTCACAGTCATCTTTCCTTGTGCATTCTTAGCACCAACCATCTAGATCAGGAAACTGGTTTGACACCCAAGTAAGTAAAAGGGGAAGTGAACAGAAATCTCCCCCTCCTCAGTATCTTTTGTCTAGCTGAATAGCCTGTGTAACAGTTTTTCACAGATAGTCTATATCAGGCATGGGCAAACTTTTTGACAAAGGGCCGCATTGCACGTTAAAATTTGACAGATGGGTGGGGAACAGGCAGATGGATGGAGAGTATTTGTGTGAATATAAATTGTACGTAAATTCCATAAGATAAATCTTTTTAAAAACAAAAAGGTTTTCATGAGACATGTTGTGTCCCCATGCACTTCACTATTACACTCTATGTATTTGCCCATATTTCTTATAAGGGATTGGTTTCCACTTCAGATTTGCTAGTAACACTGTGTAAGTGTTTTTTATAACTAGTCTAAATCCAGCTTGATGTGCTTTCATAACTTCATTGAAGATTAAACACTTGGAGGGGGGAATGGTGGGTTCCGATTGCTACTCTGCTGTAGAGCTGCATGTAGCCTGCCTCTCTAAGTCACACTCAGAGCCTTTGAGGACAGTATCCAGCCACATGCTGATCAGGCCCGGTTTACAGTTACTCCTTGGATTCAGCCTTGTCCCTTCAATAAGTTTACTAGCTAATTTTTAACACTGATTCTTCTATATTCTGGGCAGTAACCAACACAAGATGTCTACTAGTGGAATAAAATGGAAGGCCATCCCCCCTTCCCTAATGTAGCTTTCTTTGTGCCCCTGAAAGCAGCTCTCAAGAAATTGGGAAAATCTCCAGTGCTGATATTTAAACTGTTAGAGAGCTGCAGTGAAATAGAGCAGGAATAAATGTTATAACATCCAATAGCAAAACACTGGATGTAACCATTATAAAGTAAACTTCATATCCCGCAATTGAAATTTCACGTGATAGTGGCAGTGGTCAACAATAGCAGTAGATCTTCATTTTTATCTTTTTGACAGCCATGCTTTATCATCACCAACATCCATTCTTCATATACTCATAGTTAAAATATAGTGGTGCTAGTGTGAACCAGCAGAGGAAATTATTTATGCCAGTTCTACAGTGAAATTGTTTTAAAAAATATTAACAGGGCAGAAGTAAAGCCCATCTCTCTGAGTTGTATTTTCCCTTCTGACTCTGTGGAGGAAAAATTGGGTCTGAATGACTTTTCCCTCCAGGCAATGGGTTCAGTTAACCTATTCTCTCATTTAAAATCAAATGCTTTTAGTATTTCTCCAGAAAATCCTTGGTGGCACAACCAACAATAATTTTCAGACTTCTTAAGTAGGAACATTGTCTACCTGTTTCATATTGAAATGGAACATTAAAGTTATGCTGGAAATAGCCAAAATTCTATCTACCCCAGCATCCTATATCCCGCATGACCAGCCAGATATCTATAATAGGAAACTCAGACAGAAATCGAGAACAAAAATGGACACTCAAGCTACCTATAACTCCTGTTGTCGAAAATATTGCATAAATTCTCTCAAATTAAAGGTGGCTATTCTCATTATGTCTTGTAGTAAATTTAGTTGCCTGCCACAACTATAATTTTATAATCTTAAATCCAGAAATTCAGATTGGGTTATAAAACTGAGAAAAGGGGAAAATCTTAACCCAATTTGTTGGTTTTTTCATACTGTGTATTTCTTGCTGTCGTTTTTCTCAGCTGAAAAGCCCCAGATTCTTTCTCAGTGAGAGGCGTTACGTGAACCTGTTGATCATATGTTGAACTTTTCTACATCTATTCCAGCTTTACGTTTTTTGAGATACAATGATCACAACTACAGATATTTCAAATATGGTCACACCACATATTTGTATAAGACTACAGGCAGTACCTGAGTTACAAACATCTAACTTACAAATGACTCATAGTTAAGAACAGGGGTGAGACAACAGGCAGTGAAGGGGAATTCACTCCTGAAAGAGTTACCATGAGAAAGGGTGTCTCAACTGAAGCTTTATCACAATTTCTTGTTTCCACAACAAGCCATTTTTTTTCAAAATCCAATTAGCACAGGGACAGAAAGTGAGGTGAAATCTTCTAAACAGGAACACAGGCAGCAGAACAAACACCACAGAGGTATTAGCCCTTCCCTGTACGCATGCACGCACACACATTCATTCATTCATTCTTGGTTGGATTTACACTTAAAAATGCAACTCTTCTGACTTACATACAAATTCAACCTCTGAAGAGGCCAGCCACAGATGCAGGCGAAACGTTAGGAGAGAAGGCTGCTGGAACATGGCCATACACCCCGTAAAACTCAAAGCAATCCAGTGATTCCAGCCACGAAAGCCTTCAACAATGCATAGAACCTATCTTGCTTGTAACTTGGGGACTGCCTGCATTATGATGAAGTTTTATGTATTGACTTTTGGCACTGATTTTCTATCAAGGTTTGTTTTATTAGATTTGGAAAACAGTGTAGATCCATATGTAAATAACATTGGTAAATATCTATAAATTGAGCTTGCTTAAAAGCACTGTCGTAAATTGAAAGTGAATCATTCCAGTAATAGGAAAGTAGCCTAGTATCGATAAACATCTATGGTGCTAAAAGCACAAATCTAATGTAGAAGTGGAAACATAACCTAATTTCTCTTGGGATAGATTATGCCTTCCATCAAATAGCTAGATTACTGGAATAAGAGATACTTCCGATAGTCGTCTCATCTTAACTCTATGTGAATTAAAAATGTTCCAGTTCTTGGCTTTATGCCTATACATGTAAGCTTCCAATTAAAATACCGTTAGAGATTTTATGAGGAAAGTGCATTCAGAGATAGATCACAGTAATTCTCTGCAATTTTGTTTACAGTAATGGGAATATATTTTAAATTATATTTTTCTCATTTTGGGAATTTGCTTTTGCTGATATACCAGTACTGCATTCTAACAATTTTGTATATATAATTAGGGATGAAATAATGTTTAAGGTGCAGGGGTCGAGGCAAGTAGCAGCTTTGTCATAATACATATGATTTGTCATTATTGTCACTGCTTAAGTGATTGATGGTCAGAAATCCCAGTCCATTTATTGCAAATTGCTTGGTCCTTCGTGCAGTCTGGAGAAGCTATCCTAGAAGTACCAAATTCTCCTAAGAGGCTTTATGTGTAGTTGTTCAGAGTGTGACTTACTACGATGTACAGCATGATTCCCAACTATTTTTAGATGGATATTAAGAATTCCTATTTACAAGCCTCCAATGCATAGCCAATGTATTTCATAAACAAAGTGCTTTAAATGTGTGTGTTTGTGTTTTGTGCCTTGTGTTTGAAATCCTTCTGTGTTCATTATAAATATTTGTTTATAAATATTTGTGAATAAATCCATGCAAAATCTCTCAGTAGATCCAGCTCTAGCTTTTGCTCACCCTTCCTCCTAAAGGATTGTATATATAAGAGTGTACACTCTTCTTATTTCACAATCACTACTGTACATACTCGTACATAAATCAAATTCATATGTAAGCCAATGACAGGTTTGGGGGCCGAAATTATGGATGTTGATATGACTCATGGATAAGCCAGTGCTTATTCTGCAGAGAGGGGAAAACACCTCAGAGGAACAGCTGCCCCTGGCACTGCTACCATTTCCCCACCTAGGAACTTAAAATGGTCAGAAGTGGTACTGTGGTGGAGAGAGTACATGGGGATGGCACTTATAGGATCTCCTCAGATTAACTAAGCCCTTTCACCACTCTGAAAAGGGGATGGTTCCTTTTTAAATAAGAGTTAAGTTACAGAATTTGCATTGACTCGTTGATTAGTCAGTTCAGGATTTTTTTCAGTTGATGTGAACAGGTTAATTGACATTGTCAGAATAATACTTCTAAACTGTCATTTGTCTTCATGAATACATATATTCCATGTCTACTTAGAAACAAGCATCAAGATTTTTTGATATATTTGCAAGGAAATCTGTCCACTACTGCAACCTACAAAGAATTTCATGATAGAAAACTGAGTTTACAAAGGCCTTTCAGTGGCATCTGACACTGGTGAAATTGTTAAACTTAATTTGTGATATTGTGAGTCAGGAAAAGCACAGAAACATATCACGTTCTCATCTTGGTTTATGTAATTTCCATAGCTCTGAGGCTGCTATCCTTCCTCAAGCAGCCAGCTAGATTAATGTCAAATGATGCAGAACTAGTTAATTGGATATGCAAAGGTATGCCTGTTACACAGGTAGTTTTAAAAAAATTACAACTTGTGCTAGTGCAACTATTTTCAAGATGGAGTTTGATTTATTAATGTGCTAGTATTGATTTAGCAGAGTTGGAACAATGTGAAGCTTTGGTATCCCGATGGGGTGTTAAGCAACCCAGCCAGAAAGTCAGTTTGTTCTAGTGCAATCCCTCAGAAACCTACCTCGGCAACCCACAATTCCCATCCCAGTTCTTTACTGACGTCAAGCCATTGACCTGCCAAATCTGCTGACGACTTGTTCTCTCCGATGATTTGGCGGTCACGCTGCCTTCCCTCTCATACCTGCTTCTCACTTTTGTTTTAAAAGTTTTGGAAGCAAAATTCAGTCTGGTGTGTAAAAATTACAATTTCCAAGATAGCCTTTCATGAAATCCTACCTGATCTATCTGAAGGATGAACAGGACAGGTACAGCTGAAACGCCTTGAATATATGAATGCGATGGCAGGGTGGAGAATTTGTTAGGTGCAGGAGAACACTTTGAGACATGTTTATGCAAAAGAAACAGGCTTCATGAAATCCCCAGGTGCTTCACATCAAAACAGTGGCAGAGCAGCCTATGGAAAACTGACAGGAAACAGAAACTTGATGCATCTGATTAAGTGGAGGAGAGCAGATGGGGCAAGAGACAGCTTGCCTTAAAGGATAATAATTCTATTCTGAGAGCTGAAGGGCCACAAATAAAGGTATGCGTTGGAGAAGTGTTTGGAATGGAACGTCATGTAGCTGCATATGGTTATTGCATTTTCAATCCTGCCTTTCTCTCGCTCTCCGCTCTTTCTCAAAGTAAATTGCGTTGAGAGAAATGGACTAAGGTCACACAAGGAGTTTTGTACCACTGAGAACTTGAATCCTAACACTTGGTCATTGTGTACCATACTAATTATGTTGGAAGCCTCCTAGTTAGGGCAGTTAGAGAAGAAAGGAGAAACCTAGTGGCTATAATGAAACTTTTTTTTGAAATAGAAGCTTGGTCTAGAAAAGGAGAGTTAGGATCACAGAGCTTTGGTGTCAAACTAGAATTCTCTGGAAGTTACTTTGATAATTTTGGATAAAGATATCAGGCCCCACAGACTCATTTGGGGACACACTTGTCCTGATAAAAATGTCTCCTGAGAAGCCAAGTAAAATGGGGAAAGCAAGAAAGTTAATTACCTCACATTGATAAGTGAATGTCTCACCCTCAAGATGACAGGTAAAATTTCTATACACACTAATGAATGCCTTTGAGGAGTTGGGCACATAAGAAGAAAATCTGTCAGAGAGGCAATTGTACCACTGGGTGGGAATGAGGTTACAGGAGTCATAAATATAAGAGCACAAAAGACAATTTATTCCTCGTCTTTCTTTGCTGAAGAGGCTATGGAGTGGGTGCCAGTGACAGAGTTAATGGTTTGGCTGCCCTTGAGATACTCTGTACAAAGTCTGGTCATAAGATCTTACACTTCAAGAAAGGGAAGCCAACGTCAGCCAAAACCAAAAGCATGGGGTTTTTTAAATGGAAGAGCAAGTTACTGCAAAACTAAAATAATGGTTAGTATGAATAAAACAGAAAGGGGGGGGGGGGTCATCTTTGATGGTACTGGAAATTTGAGTCATATAAAAGGTAAAGGATTCCCCTGACATTAAGTCTAGTCGTGTCTGACTCGGGGGTGGTGCTTGCCTCCATTTCTAAGCCAAAGAGTCCGTAGACGCCTCTTAGGTCATGTGGCCAGCATGACTGCATGGAGCACCGTGACCTTCCTGGTTTAGGCCTCTCGGTCTCATTGACTTTCAAGTGTTAACTGAAGTCCAGTTTCACTTCTGGATATCTGCTGTCTTCCAAATGGTGCCTATGGACCTGTTTCTTGGTATATCTGGCCTGCTGATTCCAAAAATGACACCTGTTTCTCTGTATCAGTCATAGTTTTTGAGATATATAACATATGTCATGTACCAGTCTTCATCTGCTTGGCCATGGAAAACCATATCTAAGAAACTTTAGCTTAGAACCAAAGACACCCCCCCCCCCAGGAACAGGCCTAAAAACCAAGACAGCAAGATTTGTTGTTGGGATGTGATAGGTTGGGCTCCTGGAACTTCTCTTCTTCCCCAAGCATATGGGCCAAAGGCATACTGGAATTCAAAAATTCCATATAGGTGGCTGAGATAGTGACACTTTTGCTTTCTGATGTGTACTCAGTATACACATACGTGGATTCATGCCCCAAAATATTACAAATGTTTATAAAATTTCTTTCAGGCCATGTATTTACGACATATAGAAAACACAAATGAATGTCATGTTCAGATATGGGTCCCAGCTCCAAGATGGTTTCTTATTATGTACATAGCCTACAGAAGAGAAGGCTGAGAGGAGGCATGATGAGGGCCATGTATGTAAGGGGAAGTCATAGGGAAGAGGAAGCAGGCTTGTTTTCTGCTCTCTTGGAGACTAGGACCCGAAACAATGGCTGCAATGGCTACAGGAAAGGAGATTCTACCTGAACATTAGGAAGAACTGCCTGACTGTGAGAGCTGTTCAGCAGTGGAACTCTGCCCTGGAGTGTGGTGGAGGCTCCTTTTGGGGGGCTTTTAAACAGAGGCTGGGTGGCCATCTGTCAGGAGTGCTCTGAATGCTTCTTGGCAGAGTGTTGGACTGGATGGCCCACGAGGTCTCTTCCAACTCTGAGTCTATGACTCTACATATAGATTATTCCAAATCTGGGCGAGCGGGGGAGGGGGAAATCGAAAACATTTCTGCTCCTAATCATTTCCCATAAGGCAGCGATTTTCAACCTGGGAGTCAGGACCCCTGGGGGAGTTGCAAGGGGATGTCTGAAGGATTGCCAAAACCCATCAGAAAACAGTATGGGGGTTAGTCATGGAGATTCTGTGTAGGAAGTTTGGCCTAATTCTCTCATTGGTGGGCTTCAGAATGCTCTTTGATTGTAGGTGAACTATAAATCTCAGCAATTCCATAAACCCATTGCTAGACAAAAGGAGAGCGGGAAGCTCATGGCACATTTGTGATCTGGTTTGCAGAAATGTCAAATCTATTTTCCCCAAACTCCTCCACTGTTCATATTTGGGCATATTGAGCAAATTTGGTTTGGATCTATCATTGTTTGAGTCCATAGTGCTCTCTGGATGTAGATGAACTACAACTCCAAAACTCAAGCTCAATGCCCACCACACTCTTCCAGTATTTTCTGATGGTCATGGGAGTTCTGTGTGCCAAGTTTGGTTCAAGCCCATTGTTGATGGAGTTCAGAATGCTCTTTGATTGCAGGTGAACTATAAATCCCAGCAACTACAACTCTCGAATGACAAAATCAATCCCCCAGCCCCACCAGTATTCCAATTTGGGTGTATCGGGTATTTGGTCCAGTGAATGAAAATACACCCTGCCTATTAGATATTTGCTTGACGATTCATAACAATTGCAAAATTACAGTTATGAAGTAGCAATGAAAATAATTTTATAGTTGAGGGTCATCACAACATGAGGAACTGGATTAAGGGGTGACGGCATTAGGAAGGTTGAGAACTACTGGCATAAGGGATTTTTGTTGTTCATTGTTCAGTCGTTTCTGACTCTTCGTGACCTCATGGACCAGCCCACGCCAGAGCTCCCTGTCGGCTGTCAGCACCCCCAGCTCCTTCAAGTTCAAGCCAGTCACTTCAAGGATGCCATCCATCCATCTTGCCCTTGATCAGCCCCTTTTCCTTTTTCCTTCCATTTTCCCCAGCATCATTGTCTTCTCTAAGCTTTCCTGTCTTCTCATTATGTGGCCAAAATACTTCATCTTTGCCTCTAATATCCTTCCCTCCAATGAGCAGTCGGGCTTTATTTCCTGAAGTATGGACTGGTTGGATCTTCTTGTGGTCCAAGGCACTCTCAGAACTTTCCTCCAACAACACAGTTCAAAAGCATCTATCTTCCTTCGCTCAGCCTTCCCTATGTCCAGCTCTCACATCCATAGGTTACTACGGAGAATACCATTGCTTTAACTATGCAGATCTTCATTGCCAGTGTGATGTCTCTACTCTTCACTATTTTATCAAGATTGGTCATTGGTTTTCCCCTGACATTTAAGTGCAGTTGTGTCCAACTCTGGGAGTGGGTGCTCATCTCCATTTCTAAGCCAAAGAGCCGGCGTTGTCCATAGACACCTCCAAGGTCATGTGGCCGACATGACTGCATGGATACTAACCTGTATTATAACAGGGATGGGTGTCAATTGAAGGATTCAAGGGGAAAGAGAAAGGAGCCCCTTATGTTTTGGTAACTTAGACTAGGAGTGCCTGTGGCTTTCCGCTAGGTGGCGCCATTGCATGGGACTTGGGTTTTCTTTCAACCTTCTTTCACGATGCTTGCTTGATTGCTTGCTTTCTCTCTTTTAGAAACTCGGCATTGGCAAGTCAGGAGGCAACGGGAGGAGAGAGGTCCCAAAGTGTGGTGGAAGCTGAGCAACTAGGCGGCGAAGAAGAGGAGAGCTTTCCAAGGATAGAGACGCAACAGCCAGGTTTGGGACTCGCAAGAGGAGAGTGGGGGACTTGGAGGAGCAGAATCCTCCAAGTCCCAGCAGGGCAAAAGCTACCTTCTTGGGTCCAGGAGCTCAAAATTTCCAACGCCTGGGGCGAGAGGAATCTCCTGGGGAGTGGAAGGCAGCAAGATCCTCCAGAGAGGGTGGGAGGGAACTGGCAACAAGCCAGTTCCTTGGTGTGATTTGGTGAATGGAGCCAATCAGACCCCGCCTCCTTAGTCTATAAAAGCTCAAGGCTATCCTTCCCCTCTTCACTTTTGTTTGTGGCTGTTGAGGGTGCATTCACAGCCATGGGACTGGGCTGCAGCTGCATCTCTCCACCCAGGCTCTGCTCTCCTGCCCAGCCTGCCTGGACATGACTCCTTGCTACTACTATTACCACCGCAGCAGCCCCAGCGAGGAGTGGCTCAACGCCTCAGCCATGGCCAAGGGCAATGGCACTGGCACCGGCTTCCCTGGAGGAGGAGGAATCGGACCAGAGGAAGGGGAGTGCGGCTCTGTCTCGGTGGTCTTCCCCTTGACCATGATGATCACCGGCATGGTGGGCAACGGCTTGGCCATGCTGCTGGTGTACCGCGCCTATCACAAGAAGGAGAACCAGCGCAAGAAGTCCTTCTTGCTCTGCATCGGCTCCTTGGCCCTGACCGACCTGACCGGCCAGCTCCTGACCAGCCCTGTTGTCATCTCGGTGTACTTAGCCAAGAGGAACTGGTGGGCCGTGGATCCCTCCCTCCGCCTCTGCTCCTTTTTCGGCCTCAGCATGACCGTCTTTGGCCTCTGCCCGCTCTTCATCGCCAGCGCCATGGCCGTCGAGCGGACCCTGGCCATCCGGGCCCCACATTGGTACACCGGCCACATGAAGACCCGGGTGACCAAGTCGGTCCTGCTCAGCGTGTGGCTGGCCACCTTTGCCTTCGCCCTCTTGCCCCTGGTCGGCGTTGGGAAATACACCCTCCAGTGGCCTGGCACTTGGTGCTTCATCAGCATGAAGGACCCCAAAGAGCCCCGGGTGGCCAACATCATCTTCGCCTCAACTTTTGCCTTCTTGGGACTCTTCTCGCTTGGCATCACCGTGGCCTGCAATGTGGCCACCATTGTCGCCTTGGTGTGTCGGTGTCGATCCAAAAGCTCGGTGTCTCAGTCTAGGAGGCAGTGGGGCAGGATCACCACGGAAACCTTGCTCCAGCTCTTGGGAATCATGTGTGTCCTCTTTGCCTGCTGGTCTCCGCTCTTGGTAGGTTGCCTGTCTCTCTTTGGTGTGCCTCTGTCTCTGCCCTCTATGACTGGGGGGGAGAAAGAATCAGCCACACAAAAGAGTGCAGTATGAAATAGAGAAGTTACAGGATTATAAAAAGAAATGGATGAGCTCCATTGTATATAACTTTGTGGAAAATGTGCTTTCTGAAATCCAATGGGAATGCTGTGTGTGTTCTTATATGAATGCATGGACACATAAACATATCTTTAGGTCACTTGCCAACTTATGATGGTGTTGTGTGCCTTTAAACCATTTCTGTTGACTCTAAAGTGAACCTAACATGGGATTTTCTGAAGCTTAAGGGTGTGTGATTTTGCCCAAGATCATCAAGTGGCTATCAGAGCGGTGAACTAAACTCTGGTCTCCAGAGACATAGCCTAACACTCAAACCATTTTACCATGTTTGGTTCTAACTAATGGTAATCCCATGAATTGCATAGCATTTTCTTGGGCAAGGACAAAAATCTCCCCCTCCAACTATCTATAACTTTTAACGGGGGGGGGGGGGGCATCATGATGCTGCCACTTGAGTGATTTGCTGCCTATATGTGATTTAGAGAGAGATTATATTTTTCTGAAAAATCTTTAGAGCTCATTATTATGTATTCTCTTAGGCGGTCGGCACACATGTATAGAGATAAGCAAACAGATATTTGTGACTTTTAAGCAGAGGCTGGATGGCCATCTGTCAGGTGCTTTGAATGCGATTTTCCTGCTTCTTGGCAGGGGGTTGGACTGAATGGCCCACCAGGTCTCTTCCAACTCTATGATTCTATCACTGATTGTAAGTACATATTTTGATGAATTTCTCTATAGCAATACCACTCTGCCTGATTGGTTCAAAATCTGGCATCAGGCTTTAGCTGAATTTTTTTTTGGTCTGTCATGTCTATAACCCCATTGCTTTCATTCCCATCCAGGAATGAAAGTCTGGTGCAGATAGTAGTAGGAATCTGCCTTTTGAATTTTCAAGTGTTGTTTGTTTATCTAGCTGAATTGTGTCCACACTGACTGACTGCAGCTCTCTCGAGCAGCCTTCCACTTCTGGTGCTCCCCATGTATTTTGCAGTGTGACTCCTCTCAGGCCCAGGTGCAGTGCAGCAGATCTAGGCAACATCACATGGGGTGGGTTGCAATTATAAAAACATTATCTTGAGTCTGATATATATAATGATGCTCTAAAATCTGAGTCATGATTGAGAACTTGCAGCCCATTTGATATTGTGGGACTGCCATATAATCTAGTTTGCACTGCATTATAATGGTCTGTGTAGACTAGTGGTTCCCAGCTTTTTTTGACCAGCATTAGTACCAAAAGGGTTGCAAATCGGTTTTTGGTCAACTTAAGATTCGGTTTGGTTATTTGAGGTGCTGATTCAGAAAACTGCATTAGATAGACCACATTAGCTCTAGTTTCTGATACAGAACATAAATCACCCAGTAGTCGTCATCTGCTCACCCACAGAAAACCATATTTAATAAGCCTCAGCAGTATAAGAGGGTTTTGCAAGACCATTCGCTCTCGTTGCAGCAGTGTAGTAAGGGTGAGGCCGCAGACCATATTTTAGATCTTGCGGACCACTGGTGGTCCACAGACCACAGGTTAGGAACCACTGGTGTAGACTCACATAATGCAGATTGAACCTCATTGAACTGGATTGCATGAGTCAACACTGCCATATACTCCAGTTCAATGCAGTTAATCTGCATTGTCATTAAATCTTCTGCATATGCTGTCCCACTCAGCCATGAACTTCTGTCACCCCTCCAGGAAGATTGAAACCATTGCTTGTTTCCTGCTTCTAGAGAAGGCATGTGACACAAATTGTCAAGACCAGTTCTGGTTTAAGGTTATGTGTGATTTAAGTCAGACATTGCTTTTCTTGATGTGTAAATATTTAGAGAATGGAGAGCTTTTTTTGAGCCATACTGAGCACCAAGCTGATATGTAGCTATTTGCCAGAAACATTTGGGAAACAAGTATTTCAGTATACACTAGCAACAGGCTAGTTGCTTTCCATCTATGATGCTAAACATTAGCACTAAAGAAGGGTTTAAGAGATTTAAGGATAGAAAGACTGAGTAAAGGGGGATTATAAACACTTCTGTGTGCATTTCCCACCAGAATGGCAGAAAATGATGCTTTTATAGTATACCGACAGGTGTTTTGCTATATAAGCCAATAGGTCAAACTCACCTCAAATGGCCTTGGAAAATATGCTGCTGTTGGTTTAACTCAAACGATAGCCCTCACTGCTAATCCCACATCCCACATTATTGGCTATTGTGTCTAAAGTTGATTTGAACTGTAGGCACAACATCTAAAGGACCAAAAGCAGTGTTTCTCAACCTGGGGGTCAGGACCCCTAAGGGGGTCACCAGGGGGTGACAGAGGGGTCACCAAAGACCATCAGAAAACACAGTATTTTCTGTTGGGCATGGGGGTTCTGTGTGGGAAGTTTGGCCCAATTCTATCATTGGTGGGGATCAGAATGCTCTTTGATTGTAGGTGAACTATAAATCCCAGCAACTACAACTCCCAAATGTCAAGCTCTATTTCCCCCAAGCTCCGCCACTGTTCAAATTTGGGCACACTGAGTATTTGTGCCAAGTTTGGTCCAGATCCATCATTGTTTGAGTCCACAGTGCTCTCTGGAAATAGGTGAATGACAACTCCAAAACTCAAGGTCAATATTCACCAAACCCTTCCAGTAACTATAAATCCCAGCAACTACAACTCCCAAATGACAAAATCATCCCCCTCCCCCCACCTCACTAGTATTCAAATTTGGGTGTATTGGGTATTTGTGTCAAATTTGGTACAGTGAATGAAKAAACCTCCTGCATATCAGATATTTAGATTACAATTCATAACAGTAGCAAAATTACAGTTATGAAATAGTAACAAAAATAATGTTATGGTTGAGGGTCACCACAACTTGAGGAACTGAATTAAGGGGTCARGGCATTTGGAAGGTTGAGAAACCCTGATCTAAAGGMTTTTTTTCACATCATTGWTCTTAGATTTATGGATTTTATATTTTGTTTTTGTTAGTCCCCTTCAACAAAAATGTTGGACAAGTGGGCTTATTAACAAAAGACCCTCCTCATAAATACACATCAGAGTAACTTATCAGCAGCAATGTGAACCAGCATCAGTAGCCCAAAGTGATAAAAAGAATAAAAGCACACAGACCAATGCTATCTCTTCTTAGGAGGTTTTTCTTTGTTGTAAATAATATGGTTCCACTATTTACAAGAATAAAGTTTCCAAAACACAAATAAACAACAGTAGCTTTACAGACCGCAGCCTTCACACTGAAGCTTACTCACACGAGGCTTCTCTCACACAGAGGTTTACCTCACACTCCTCAGGACGACACTAGCTTTGGCCCACTGACTCTGACACGCTTTGGCCTACTAACTCTTGCAGTGCTTGACTCACACTTTTATAATCAAAAATACCTAGTTAATATTTAATATTTCTGACAAAAATGTGATGCAGAGTTCAAGAAATAAATACAACTTCTCTCAAGGACCATTGTCATATAATGGTTAGAGTCTTGATCAGCCATGGAAACCCAATGAATGATTTCAGATTTCACACTTTCTCAGCCTCAGAGATAGGCAATGGCAAACCTCTCATAACACATCTTACCAGGAAAACCCTTCGATAGATTCACTTTAGGGTCACCAAGGGTCAAAAATGACTTGGAGGCACACAACAACAGCAAGAACTGTTGCTCTTCAGCTGTTGCTCTCTCAGCAATGTTTAATTTTGGTCTTGAAAACTGAAAAAAGAGCTGAGGAAAACATCGGGCAGATATTGGAAGAGGGAAGCATGTTAGGGAAGAGTCCTGTCCCCTCTTCATGCCCCCTTATGTTGCATTTTAATCCTTTCCCACTTTAAGTTTCATTGAAATCTCCAGCAAGCAACCTGATTGAGAATACGTGGATCTGCCACTGTCTAGTTTATCTGTACTTTAGTTCTATATTAAGCTGGCCCTGTTTATACTGTTCAGCAAATATAATCAGTATTACAATAAACATTTTGCTTTTTTTCCAGCACTGGTGATATTGCACAAAGGAGAGACTGAATTTCCAACCATGTAGCTCCAAAGTAGTTTGGCAGGGGCAGGGGGGTAACATATTTGGGATGTTTATGTGAGAATGAAGAGCAACATAACACTTTTGTGATCCCTTTACCACGTTTGAGTATTAGTGTAATTATTTTCATTCCCACTTATTCCAAGAATCTCACAGTAATTGACCCGATTATTTCTTTCCAGCTCAGAGCTTTGCTAGAGCATTACAGGGTAGGGTAGGCTATGAGATAATGACTGGCCCAAGGCGATCCAGAGCATGTAATAGAGTGGCAATCCTAATAGCACAGTCTGAACACTATGACACCATGACTCTCTGCTTTGACAGTGAGAACCTGCAAAAGGAACCAGGCACAGATTTGGGGACAGTGCCCGTAATATTCAACAATCCCTGGTATAGCGGCCCCATACATGAGACAGTTACACTAGCCAAATCTTGGACCACCAGCAGCTAAAAACAGCCCTCCAGTTTCCTCTTCTGAACATTTTGTGATCCTCAGTTCCCAAGCATCTGACAAAACTATTTATGCTTGGCTCCAGATAATCTTTCAGACTGGGTGATTGTTTGTATACTATCCATGTTTTGTCTGTACATATGTGAGAAATTTTCCATTCACTGAGATTTATACATGTAGAATCCTGGCTCTTGTGTCTTTGTATCCAGGCATTTGATCTCATATGGTAGGATTCTCCTGGAAGGAAAATTTTACTGGATTGCATCTCCTTGGGCAGTGTTGACTTAACTATTTTGTCCCCAGTTCTTACATCTGACTGTCTAAACACTATAAAGATCCTGCCTAATCTTGGAAGCTTAGCAGGGTTAACCCTGGTTAGTACTTAGATAGGAAACTGCCAAGAAATATCAAGTGCTAT